ACAGAAATCCACACTGTGTATTCTTAGGACAGTCTCTCCAGGCCTGATGGATGCGGCCTTGGAGGAGCCAGTAACCACGCACAGAAAAACCTCATTATCTAGTGTAATCAATCCGAGAGTCCCATGTCCATCACCAATGACCCTATAACCCTTCAGGTCCACAGATGATAGGGGAGCAAATTCAACCAAGCAGCGCGGCGTAGTCTTGAGATGAGACGCAGTGTTGACATCCGCTCCTGCCAAGCTATGGCGAAAGATAAGTACGTATTCAGATGTGGCTAATGCAATAGTACGATATGGATAATTTTGAATATAAATGCGTAACCCGGACATTGTTAACTTATGATTGGGTCCTCCTCGGTCCTCATGATGGAGCAACTTAAGTCCAGATTGCAGCACACGCTTCGGTTGGCATTCTCAAAGCTTGGCACTCTTGCTGCCAACATTGCGGCGCGGTCTTTAGTTTGCATGAGCGAGGGCTAGCAAGAAGTGTGAGAGGTACAGAGATAATGCGAGTTTTGCATTGAGACTACATCGGTATTCAAGGACCGAACCTTGCCTACTTTGCAGGTAACGCAGAATCTATACTGATACGGATGTAATAGCCAACAGGTATCTAGCATGAAAGCTGACTAGAACGGAATTCAGTGGCTACTGGAGACCATACGCTGTTCTACATATCATGAGTCTCAATGAATTAGGATGGACAGAAACTTCGAGAGACTTTCTCCTAAACAACAAAGGAGACAGAGAAACCTAGTGACACTTGTGACTTCGGGTTCTATTCGAGAGATTGCGATTGTGAATTTGGAGGAACCCCGCAGTATCCATTTGCCCCGGGTCGAGACCGTCGTCAGTCACCGAATAAAGTAAGCGGTCACAGCAGGCCGTCGGAGGAAATTTTTCAGGTCTCTTCTCGAGCATTAGTATCAATGTCATGACTTCTCTGTTCTACTCCCTTTAATTACCATCTTTGCTCTCAATTTTACGAATTCGCACAATTTTGCATCATATCTGGCGATAAAAAAGAGAACAAAAGTCCGTGAGCAGGGGCCAGAGAATCCTAGGGCTCCAATTTACCTACCAAAAGGTGAAATAGGGCAGTGGAACACGAAGTGCACTTTCACTTCTTTGTTGAAATATATCTAAACCGCTGCCATAATCTATCGCAGCAAATGGGACTTGCAGCACCTCGCAAGTATGTTTTCACGGATAATTTCTATTTCCTTCACTATCTACCTTTGCGGTGTTCTGACCAGGCAGTGACCTAGGAAAATAAAAATCTCCCATGACCCCAATAATACCAATTGGGCACGGTCAACAAGCGGTTTCGGACACAAGATCTTGAGCTCCCAGGGATGGACACCCGGGAGCTTCTTGGGGGCGCGCAATGCCGCACATGCTGAAATGTTTACTTCAGCGAGTGCATCTCACATCAAGGTTGTCCTGAAGGATGATACACTGGGCCTAGGGGCGCGGCCCAAACGTGATCCTCTAAATGAGCCCACCGGTCTTGATGCATTCAAGGGACTTCTTGGTCGGCTAAACGGCAAGTCAGACGCGGATTTGCAGGTCGAGCAGCAGAAGCGCGACAACGTAAAATTAGCTCGATATGCTGCCACGAAATGGCAAGCAGTCACATTCATAAGTGGCGGTTTGCTAGCTCAGGAAAAAATTACCCCCATTGTCACTGAGGAGCCGCAAGGAACCAAAAAAGACAAGCAAGAGGACAGACTATCTGCTACGGTACCTGCACCGGACAATGACCAAGTGAGCTCTGATGGCATTGAGGGGTCAGGCAATGTTGGGGACCAAAGCGATCACCAAAGCATCAAGAAGAAAAAATCGAAATCCAAGAGCCATCGGGAGAAGAAGGACAGAAAAAGGAAACATGCTGACGGGCCTGAGTCCACCGACTCCGGAGATACGAATAAGAAATCAGCAGAGAAGAAGAGTAAGGCCACAAGAGATGATGAAGAAAGCTCTTCAACAGCTTCTAAAGGTCCGTCGAGGGAGCGCCGTCCGATGGGGAGACATGTTTTTCGAGGCCGACATATTGCGCAGAAGAAAGCGGCTCTCATGGACGAGAAGTCTCTCAACGAGGTGAGAACCGAATACTTTGAAGTTGGACTTTCAGATCGCAGAAGCTAATGTGTTACAGATATTCATGGTCAAATCCTAGTGCCGTATATACCTCTCTCATGACATGCCCTAGACTTATAGACATAGATATACTCCTTGCTGGCTTGGTTCGGCATCTCTTACAATCGTCCGTAACGACCCTTGACACAACTCATACCTGCATGTAACACATATAGGTAGACCGGAGTTTTTGGTGATTCAAGCCAGGTGCTGTGCCATTGTAGATTATGAGGCGTATGGTTCGCACCAAGCAAATATGTTGCACCAGAACCTAAATATTCTAGGTACAGGCCTTTTCTTCTTTTTGGTTTTCGGGAGAGAGGGAGAGAGAGAGAGTGTGTGTGTGTGTGTGTGTGTGATGAACGGAGTATTATCGATCCGTCCCTTATCCGGATGTACTCATTTGATCATTGATAATCAATCATATAAAACATCTAAAGAATTGAACCTTTCTCGATGAGATGCTGTGGGCGGAGATTAAACAGTACCTTCGTACTACTGGTCCTAGTACAGAGTAAGGGAAAATGACGTGGGGGGTGCCCGCAGACCCACAATCTAGAAACCAGCCCCGTTCCGGCAGCAACCTAGTTGTTACGTAGTCTCTCACGGTCTCACCACTTCGACGAAGCATCTCCATCTTCTAGCCGTTAGGTTCAGAGCTTTTGGGATATATTCGCTGTTCTGGGCGCTATCGAATCAATTGGCTCTCAATCATTACCTGGTACTCAGGTGATAAGCCCACAATTGAAGCCTAGTCAAAACAAGTTCAGATCCTTTGACGTGTACATCATATAAGTCCAGATAAAGATTTTAGAAGCGGTGTCTCGAACTCGCTCTGGTCTATTTTCTACGCATCCGGTCAACGGATGTCGCCCTCCGATACACCACCGGGCCATGTTCCATCTGGCCAGGAAAATGCAGCGCTACAACCTACAGCTACTGAAGGGTCTCTCAAAAGGCTCTGGAAACGAGCCAGTTTGCCATACAAGGCAAGGTCGTCCGTAATGCCTGATGGTGCTGCTTCCCAAGCAGCCCAAGAAACCATGAAGGAGTCGAAGGGGCCAAGGTGATTATCCCATGCGAGATCTTCCCCTCGAGTCTCGGTCTCTGACAAGCGCTCTTCTAGTATCCGTTGGGCCCCACTCAATGTTGGACTCGAACGGCGCTTACAGACTTTGGTGGTGTTATGCCATACTCTGACCATAGCGATCCTGTTAACAGCCTTTTTCTTCGTGTGTGCAATCCCCTTATTCTGGCCTATCATACTGCCTTACCTTATCTATATATCCCTTTTTTCAACGGCAGCCACGTCGGGTGATTTGAGCGGTAGGTGTGACTTCTTACGTTCACTCGGCGTATGGTCAATATATGCATCGTATTTCCCGGCCCGCTTGCATCGGTCAGAACCTCTCCTCCCAACCCGGAAGTATATTTTTGGTTATCATCCGCACGGAATCATCTCTCATGGCGCTTTTGCAGCGTTTGCTACCGAGGCTCTTGGTTTTGCAAGGCTCTTCCCTGGTATCACCAACACCTTGCTTACGCTTGATTCAAACTTCCGAATTCCCTTCTACAGGGAATATGCGCTAGGCATGGGGATTGCCAGTGTCTCGCGCGAGTCATGCGAGAACCTGCTATCAAAGGGCGGCATTGATGGGGAAGGAATGGGACGTGCTATAACTATCGTTATTGGTGGTGCTCGCGAGTCTCTTGATGCTCTTCCGCATACATTGCGCCTTGTACTCAAGAGGCGTAAAGGTTTTATCAAGCTGGCAATTCACACTGGCGCCGATCTTGTGCCTGTACTGGCCTTTGGTGAAAATGATCTCTATGAACAAGTGCGCTCTGAAAACCATCCTGTTATACACAAATTGCAGATGCTGGTCAAACACACATTGGGATTCACTATCCCGTTATTCCATGCCCGTGGCGTGTTCAACTATGACGTGGGTCTAATGCCATATCGTCGGCCACTCAACATTGTTGTCGGTCGTCCAATCCATGTTGTGCAGCAGCGTGATAGGGGGAAGATCGACGATGATTATATAAACCATCTCCATTCCTTGTACGTGCAGGAATTAGAACGAATATGGGAAGAGTGGAAAGATAAATATGCAAAGGATAGGACATCGGAGATCGAAATCGTTGCTTGACGCACGCTAACAGCGAAATTCATCGGAGATATAAAGGAGGGGGTCTGTTCTGTATCTCTATTTTTATACATATGCTTATACATACATGTGTCTAGATGTTTTAAGTTATTAGGCACATAAGGCTTCAGGTGAGAACGGAATTAAGCTCAAGGTTTGAGTATATCTATAATTATCACTCTTATTATAGAAGGTATATATATAAATGCAATTTCTGATAATTTTGAACGTAAAGTTCACATAAAGCTCTGGGGCCAGTGCTGTATATAAAATTACTGGTATACAAACTATAAAAAGGCAATGACCAGGGGGGCTAAAATCGGAAGACATCCAAGCTATAGTACATAAAAACGGAGACATATATAAGAAAAAACCAACGGACTCCAAACGTGTATTTGTATAGATCTGTCCAGGGTCTATCAAGGGCTTACCCAGTTGGAATGCACCAAATCATAGAATCTCAGTACTAGGCCGTTCATACTACTTACATGCCGAGCGACACTGTTTCGTTAGATGGCTGTATCTATATAGTATTAATTTATGTATCCCTTGATTGTATGCTGAATACACCCTACTACTCCGGCCGCAGAGAAGTCCGTTGGCTGGAAAGGTATGCTTGACCACAACAGTTCAACTAGCTGTATCAGCCTGTTCAACTAACGGTTCAGGAACGTTCTAACAGTTCAAAATAAACAACCTGGAATCAGCTTCATTTGATAAAAATCCCAAGTCATCATTCCCATTCCATAATATAACGACTACTATTGGTTGCTATCACACAGTCCCAATCAACACTTCTCAAGGGGCATATGTCCAGGCGCAACCTCCTAGGGACCGGATAGGATTCTCCACTACGGACCATTGGGAATAAAGGTCTGGAAAGGGATGATTATATCCTTCTACCCTCTCAACGTATTTTCATTATGTCATTACCAATCAACATGCCTACCACCAGGCAAGCGTAACAGGAATATTAAGACAGAGAAATGGATGAAGAGGAAGCACAAGACGAAGCCAGAAAAGAGCAAGGGAAACCGGGTATCTAGATCAGTCCACACAAAACAGGGTATTATAGAAAGAAACGTGGAATGACAACGAAGAGGGTGTGAGGTAAGGCAAGGCGGAAGAGGTGAGAACCAAGAGACAGAGATTGTGTGCTGAATGGCGCGTGGCGGAAAGGCAGTTAAACCACAGGTATACTGCCTGCCTGAGCGAAATTATAATAGACGTGAAGAGGAAAGAGTGTCCCGCGAAAACGGGCCAAATTGTGAATAGAAAATGTAGTTCAAAAATTGCCGGCATTAGCCAGAGCTTGCCAAATCCGTAGTGCCCGTGCTCAACCCTGGCAAACCGGGCATGGATTCAGATGCCCGCCGACTTTCTGCGGCAACGCGAACACTCCCACGAGAGCCCTTGATGAGGTGCCCACTCTCAAGGCGGTCCTGTAACATCTCGTCCAAAATGCGTGACACGTCGTCCATGCCACGCCTCTTTTCTTCCATTTCATCCTCTTTGAGTGGTGAACAGAGACCAACGGCCGAGTCATAAGCCGCTGGGTCATCGCCATCGGGTTGATGTTCCTGACGCCCGGGTCTATCTTTTGTGTCTGACACGAAGGAGTCGGCTGCTGAATGGGCAAGATCTCGATGTCGAGCAGCAGAACGAAGGGCAGCAAGCATCCGGTCTTTATCGTCTAGTTGTAGACGAAGCTCATTGATCTCCATGTCCTTCTCCCGTAAAAGAGCTAGTACATCAGGGGCGTCAGAAGTAGTGCCTCCAGCCTTCACACCTATGGACATGCGGGAATGACTGGACCGCCGTGCTTGCAGAAGCCGCCGCTCTAGCGTAGAGATATAGCGATTCTTGTCGTTGAGGTCGGCCTGAAGGGCTGCGATTTGTCTTTGGGCGCTTGCTTTTCCATCCGCAAATTCGCCAATAAAATCATCCTCATCTTCATTCCCAAGATGACCATTTGAGAACGGTTGATTACTGGGGTAATCACTGCTGTTAACGGAAAGAAAGGAGACTGGTCGGAGCGACGAGTGCCCATATGCGCCTAATGTAGACTGGCTGAGTGACGAACGCAAAGATCGAGATCCAGTTTCGGTAGCCGACATCCTTGAAAGGCGACCAAGAGCGGATATGCTTCCATAGGTATTTACACCAGTAGACTTTGAACATAGAATCAGACGATTCAAATGCTCGATCCTTTCCTTTAATGCCGTCCGAGCCAGTTGCATTTCAAGCATTTGCTCTTCGTGGCGTGCCTGTGCTTCTTTTTCGAGCTGCTGCTCTTCCAGCTTCAGTTCCTTCTCAGCTTGGGCCTTGGTCTGACTCTCTAACTGGTTACGGAGCGTCTGAATCTCCATACGGTACCGCTCCAGGAGAACTCTGCTTCCAGCATCACCTCCACCACTACCAAATGCTTCCTCCGCGCGTTTAGCATGACTGACAATGCTGTTCTTGGCTCGAGCTGCGAATTTCAAGGTGTTGAGCGTTTCGCCGGAATGAGACTTGGCTGTCCCTCCTAGCTGAACGGTGCAAAGAATACTGACCAATGAGTTCCCTGACAAAGCAGGCTGCAGTAATCTCGTGAGTTTGCTGTCTCGATATGGAAGGTGTTTCCCCTCTTTATCAGTTGGGTTGCCGGTCTTTTCTCTTGCCTCCGATAGTTTAGAGATAATAGTTCCCAAAGTAAGCAGGCTTTTGTTAATATGGGCACCTTCCGTGCGCCGTTCCTTGTCCTCAGCAGCGCGCTCTGAACCAGCAAGATCGATTAGACTCAGCGTCGACACTCGAACTCCACCTGGGACCAAGCCTGACCGTCTATCTTGAGAGGCTCCGGCAGGCACTCGTTCCCTGCTCTCGACAACAATTTGAACAACCGCGTGACTTCGAGAGCTGCGAGAGTTAAACTGCGTGCTACCGGTCCGTCTAGCATGGTCGCCCCTCGCGATCACACGGAGAAGCTGTGTCGGGCTTTGAACAATCTCTTCTTTCAGTGGCGTGGCATATACACCACGTTTGCTGTCTTCGCGGAGCTTAATTTCCTCCTGTTGAGGGGCAGCGGTCCCGCCAGATACCGAGGCTGACAGCAGATCGTGAATTTTCTCATTGTATATCTCCAGATAGCTGACACGCAACAAGAACTCTCGATGTGGTGTTTCCCTAATGAAGGAGAATATGTCCGTTATTGCCAAAGGTATCACTCCCGGGGAGGTTGCGGTTCCTTGCATGGAAAACGTCTTGCCAGTACCAGTCATGCCGTAAGCGAAGACTGTACCATGATATCCTTCCATTACCCGCCTCACTAGACGTTTCGCTGCAGAGTCGTAAATCTTCGCGTTATGTTCATGAGGGGAGAACACGTTATCTGAGGAGGAAATAGGGAAGAGTAAGCCATGTATACCTTGTTGTGCCCAAAGAGAATACGAAGGATATCCTTACCAAACGAATAATCACCGCCCTCCTTTCCGTGATAAGAGATGAGGCCGTGCCTCCCATCTACTGACCATTCAGGGGTCTTTGCGGCTTCGGCACCATTGACATCAGGGCGTACTCGGACGCTCACGATGACATTTCCCTTTGTCTCTTTCGGCCTGGAGTTTGACTTTGGTACGCCTTCATCGGCATCTTCAAACGTAGTTGCACTAGTTGAGTAAGATCCTTGCGCAGATGAGCTCCTGCTTTGTGAAGGGGAGCCTTCCGCATCTCGCGCTTCAGTAGTCGAAATGGATTTCGCATCCCCAGCGCCACTCAGCAACGATGCGGTCTTAGAACTCCGGTAACTACTGGTGGTTCCAGTGCTTAGTCTCGAGCTTTTCCTAGCCTTTACACTCCCAGATGGATGGACGCCCTGTATTCCAGATGTTGAAGACGCAGTAGAAGGGCGGCTTCCTGACCTAGGTGGCTGAGGAAACGCTGCAATGCTGATGGTTCGTCGCAGCGATTTATCGGGGCTACTCGGAACCCGGCTACCGGCAACGGTCCGCGATGTGCTGGTATTGGTCATGGAGTTAGACAGGAGCTGTCGTCCTAGACTTGATCTAGGGCTAGAAGGGGTGCGCGTCTTGAGGGACATTTGGGATGGGGACGGCGCCTTTGACGTGTCAGATGCAACAGGAAGGCTTTTCCGTGACCTAGGAGCTGGGAATTGAGGACATGGCCCAGCCGAAGAGTTCGTGGCTGTCCGCGACGACGGTGGTAAGGTCGACATTCTCAAGTGACTGTCTGTTATATGAGGCTTATTATACCATGCGGTGTTGGCACATGGACTTATCAATCGGTATTTCTTGCGGCGGCCATCCGTATGTGTCCGGTTATTCAAGTCCGAATTCGCGCCTGTATTAGAAGATATGAACCTGTTAGACTCGCCAATAAGAGGCTATCGAAACATGCAACAACATCACCGGATAACCGGCTTTCAGATTGGAGGGCAACACTTTGTTACGCGTTTGTGCCTCTGTGGAAAGGAGCTCGTTTGATATGTGAAGAGACAGGGGGGGCAGTAGAACGATAACAGGTATACTCGGCTGTCAAGGTCCGAGTATCGAGACTCACCTTGATTTGGTATGAGGCAGTTCCGCCTGTCGAAGGCCGATTCTCAAGTCGGACGATTCCGCAAACCGTCCACAGACTAGTAGGATGTTGCGGGCTGAGATAAGGGGACTGTAACGTAAACAAGCGCCAACCTTTGCGCACGACACAGATGTGTCCGAAAGCCCTTGCTGGCTGGGTCTCTTGCAGCGTTGGGCACGTGTGTAGGTTATGGGCCGACGTCAATTATTCCGTTTCAGCCCTGGCAGGTTTGAATAGGCTTCTTTCTTATTACGACAACAGCGAACTGGAGACCGGCACTGCCAAGTGATGGATGGCGTTTAAAGAGGGGGCGCTGATCGGGAACGTTAATACCTGAGAAGAAGGCCTGTGTGCAAAACAGGCATGACCAAAAGAATGGGTAGACAAGTAATTAATCGCTTCAGATAGGCAGGATACCCCGTACGCCGCAATCCGCCTCGAACGCGAGGCGTTGGGTTGAAGGAGGCTCCAAGGGTTGGTCCTTTCAATCTTTAGTGCCGCACGGGACGGGTAAAAGGCCGGGAGTCAGGTTATGAGGGGCGTAGTAGTAGCAACTCACCCACTTCCTGGTCAGAGCAAGATAACTAATTTTTTTTGTATTCATTTACTATACTATACCGTCATACAGTGTGATGATGCTGGTACTAGTTGAAATCATTACCGGCATCAATGAGCTGACTGTTGCTTCCACCGGGTACCGTATAGCATGTAACCCCAGCATACACCCCTCTGTGGTGTAGGTTAACCCTCTCGGACGGTGGACCTTTCTGGAGCCTGAGATAGTTACCGGCCAAATACTACTAGGTAACTAAGCTGAGCAGGGATCCAATGAAATATGCGGGAACTTTGTATAGGATACCTCCTATACGGTACTATCTGGAAACTTACAGTAAGTTAGAGATCTATACCCAAGGTAGGCACTCGGATGGGGTTTCTTAGTAGAAACTCAATTACCGGACGATGTTTTATCTAGTCTAGTGCTCAATTGAGTATCTTAAGATTTACTCAAAAAATTTCCCTGGTAATTCATACTGTCGTATCCGACATCAATACCCATCCAGTACTAGTGTCACATCAAAAATCTTCTAGTAGACGTGTTGCTCAGATGTGCGGTTTGGAATTCCATCTCTACGTAAATGTGTATGCGGCAGTTCTAAGTACCCTCTTTCAAAACCACAATATTGGACATACTTAGGGCAATGAAACCGTGTAAATCAAGCATTTCGAATCCGGCTTGCCGGTATTCACAAGACATCTCCCTTCGTAAAGAAAATGGTAGTATATATCGAATCAATTACCTTTTCTATTGAATCAATCGTATCCACTGATTGATCCGCAAGACGGTCCCAGAATGCGTAAAGAATACTAATGATATCGGATGAGGTACAGTGTTCTGTCATCTCGAAGTTAAGCAGTGACATTGCTGATAGAATTACAATGTCTGTGCAGGGTGCCTAGCCGGTAAAGGGGATCGAGCATCATTTGCTGTCCCATTTTTAGTCCTCTCTCGAGTCTCGAGTGGGAAATCTGTAGGAGGGACCAGACGCTAACAGACGGAGGCCCTCTTTTAATGTTTAATTAAACCTCCGTAAGGGGCTTTGAGGTCTTTATCATTTGTAGCAGCCATCCACTAACCAGAACGCATTTACTTCATATTCTTTGTTACTACTGCCCTTTTCTCCCCTTCAAATACGTGTCTCGAAGGGTGAGGCGGCTAATTTCCTCGCCAAATTCAAAGGCGGCTGAATATTATTTTCATGTGCCCTGCAGGATATAATAATTTCCATCAGATGCAGTGTGCAGTACAGAACACTTATGTTCCCACGATAGGGGGTGGGCTTTGTCGATCAATTTCTCCATGAGGGTATCAATGTCGATCCCTGCTACTGAGCGATCCTGCTTGCGTTTCCGCACATACGATGCCAAGAAAACAGCATACACAAGCGTCAACCCTTCTAGCCACAGAGCCCGTTGGACGAACACATGCTCACAAGAATTCTGGAGGGATTTCTCCTTGTCTGAGACCTATATGGAAAAATACAGCTGACCCCTTCGGGTCATTATGTTTCCGACTCCACAACTGTTAGGGTATCGACGATCACACGAATCCGCGAACCATTGAGCGGCTGGTGTTGATCCGACAACAACTTTCTGCTGAACTTGCTACCCTTGATCGAGTCCGCATCAATTTGCGACAATCATCTAGTTACTTTGTCGTTTATCTCACCCGCATATTTAGGCGCAATCCACACTGTCGATGAGCGGATCTCATCTCAATAGATGAAGTTCACCAATGATGGGCCGATTGCCATGTCCCTTCCTTTGAGAGGGTGGCACAGGTCGACACTGTGGGAGATCAGCCTTCTCTTGCGTCGGATAAAATTCTATATGCCTGAGGATACCTGACATATATTGTTGCTCATCCTTGAAATTCGTATGACTCAGAATCCCCGATGAACTTATGTCTGATTTTCCCCAAACCGTTGCATCTTCTGACCAATGGTATGGCACAGTACACTAAGGTACCAGATAATGCAAGTATGACCGTGTGCGACTGAGAAGAGAAGATGCACATGCGTTTATCAGTCCCTTGCCGCGCCAAAATCCAATTGTCGAGCGGCATTCTTGAAGGGAGTATCGTCAAGTTCCCCACCTCGCCTCGTTAAATCATCGCCCATCTTTTTAGTTCCGCCAACCTTTCTAGGAAGATCTTGTTTCTTAGTTGGCTTCGGTTCAGCAAGCCACCAGCCGTGTTGTAGGATTTGGCAGGCGGTGCTCCGTTTTCTGGGATCCAAAGTACACATCGACATGAGCAAATCTGCCCCAACAGGTCCAGCCGTCGGAAACTGCCGGAGAAAGAAATCTCGGCCTTGTAAGGGCACAATATGATTCGGATCGGCTGGTATGTAATTTGGCAATCTAGTCACGCCTGGCCAGTTCTCCTCAGTTGGTGTCCCGAAGGCTTCGCAAATCTTGGAGATTTGATCCAAGTCTGAATTCCCTGCGACAAATGGAACCCGTAGAAGGAGTTCAGCAAACACCATTCCCATGGACCAAACGTCGACAGCTCCAGAATACTGTCGCGCACCGAAAAGCAGCTCGGGGGGTCGATACCAGCGTGTGATCACCTGGTGTGTCATATTCAAGTATGGATCAGCGAAAGACCTGGCCAAACCGAAATCTGCCAGCTTGACCTCGCCGTCAGCGGCGACTAGAAGATTGTTTGGCTTGATATCTCGGTGCAGGATGTAATTTTCATGACAGAACCAAACACCCCTGGCAAGCATGCCCATCCAGGCTTTGACATCAGCGGCACCGTAATGAATATTGCTATCCCTGATGAGCATTTCAAGATCACCGCGTGGCAAGTATTCAAGAACCAAATTGAGGTTTTGATCCTTGGACGAGAACACATCGTGGAGTGCAATTATATTCGGATGAGAAAGCTCTTGGAGATATTTTACCTCTCGGATAGCGTCCATAGAAAGTCCATCCTTGTATTCAGCATTGACCTTAATCTTCTTTATTGCAACAAATGACGATGGGTCGGTGCGGAGGTGTCCGAGAAACACTACAGCATAAGTTCCCTCACCCAACTTCTTATCTGTAAGATCGGCAATAATTAGTATCGTAACGCTGGCACTACTGAGATGGTAAGGGGAAGAATTATGGAGATGACAGAATATGTTTGACAATGGAGTTAAGGCAAGTGATGGGAGTTCAGTACCTTTTATGTACTTGTGCCTCACATCGTCGTTAAGTTGCTCCGTGATTTCACGGTCAGAGTTCTTCATGCGCTGGGGCGACGATGAGTGATTCGTCTTGTTGGGTGAGTTGGTGCCAGACTCATTCTCGAATTTATTGCCTGCATTTGAGCTTGGAGCTGCAACTGATGAAGCGTGGGGGACCAAAGGCGAAACCGCCATCGTCTGCTTATATGCCCTCAACCCAAGAGATAGGAAGAGGATAAAATATCACCGACGCAGCAGCAGCATGCCAGAGAGCGAAAATTGATGGGCAGTGAAAGTTAACAGCCAAGAATGTCGGACTGATTGGCAAGATATGGCACAAGTTGCCTTGAGTATATATGAAGCTAGGATCGAAGTTCGGAGTTTTGTTGATCCCGGGACTGCCCCGGAACTGCGCATCCCGCCGAACTTTTCTCCAGGATGGTCGGGACCGACAGCGAAGGCATCTAACTCTTACTACGCTACCAAATCCGGACGATTATCAGCGACGGGGAAGGGGCCCGATAACTTTTCAGTTCCGCACCCTCTCAGTTTTCGTGTGTTTCGAAGAATTGTCGACAGTTTTCAATCAACATCTCCGGGACTGCATCGGTTGTCCTCAAGAAACCCCGACGACAAAATGGCGACGCGCAGCTCGCACCGCTTGTCCTTGCAAGTGATGAGATCCTTGACGATAAGCAAACAGTTCATACGAAGTTTTCATAAGAACACGGGCGCCCCTTCTCCGCCGTCACCCACTCCCTTTGTTCCTGATGTCGAGACCTTTCTTAAGTTGATCGGTCGTGGGATGCACAAGCATGCGAGCAAGCTACCTTCCTGGGATAAGCTGTTCACATCCAGTTCCTCTGAACTTCGGGATTTAGGCATTGAGCCAGCACGCCAGCGACGTTACCTGCTCCGCAAGATGGACAAGTTCAGGCAGGGGATCTATGGGCCCGGTGGAGACCTGGAGAACGTGGTCGATGGCGTCGCGCAGCTTCGAGTTGTTGAAGTTCCGACAATGAACAAGGAAACATCGCACCCTTTGAATTCCTCGGCTACTCTATCTCCAGGGATGAAAAGAGTCATTGTCAACATTCCGCCGGATGCTTCTGAATACACTCATGATCCCACGAAACCCCTCAAGAAGTTTGCGCGCATGAAAATCACTGCTGGTTCTGCTATCAGCGGCCCGTATCTCCAACCGATCAAAGGAACAAATGGTAGTGCAGCCCTAATCAAAGTCGAGGAGGGCATGTGGGAGGACAAGCTCGGCCACAAAGTGGACGGTGGTGAAAGGAGACGTGCTGAAGTTCGGGCTAAGAAGCGAAGCGAAGAGAGGAAGAAGGGAAACTAAGAAGGACCACGCCACAGAACACACATACTTGTCTTTCTCCATCTCTGTTGTATCTTAAAGGGCGCTTATATTGCAGTCATGTCACATGTATTATATTTCACATATTAACGGGTTTTCCGGTTATTGACACTATTTTCCATCGCGTCCAGGAAAGGTATTATATTTGTGGTAGAATGGCTGTCCCATATAACGTCTGTATGGGGAGTTTAGACTGGCTATAAATACATTAAGGCCTCTTCAAAATGCGAGCAAATCGCGTACCCAGAATACAATCCTCACTCATAGTCAACCCTAGATCAAGACATTGGATTGAAGTACTGTACAAGCAACCATTACATGAGAGTAAACCGGCCAATAAAGCCCCAATGGAAACCAGAAGGTAGTAAGAAACAGAATAAAAGATAATTCCACAAAAGACTGTTATCCAGTCATTCCATCGTATTACATAAGAGTTTAAGAACAATCACAAAAGGCGGATTCTATGCAGTAACAGGCAGGTCGTTATGATTTGACGGTGGTAGCGCGCTTCTCAAATTGAATGATAGACTTGCCAGCAGGCTTGGAGAAGAGAGACTAGAATTGGTCAGCCTTGTCAGTCGTAGCCAGGGAGATCGACGCATGATCGGTTTGAAGAGAGTGTGGCTTACCGAGTAGTCTGTTTCCGGGATATCCTTGACATTTGGGAGATTGCGGAATTTGAATAACCTCACCAAAGCCGCAGTGATTGCACCAAGTTGCACGTAGGCGAATTGTTCACCAATGCATCTGTGACGTCCTGCACCGAATGGAAGGTAGGGGCTATTAGTGCCTTTGCTGACAAGACCATATCCATAATCAATCTGATCTTCTTCTTCCGCATTGGCTGCAACAGTCTCATCCCAGCGGTGGGGATCCCATTTGAGAGGGTTAGGGAAATATTCCTCTGATCTTGCGGTAACACCAGGCGAGGAAAGGACATTGTGACTGGTTGGGATAACATATGGCGTACCATCCACAGGCATTGGGTTTTTGACTGCGCGGATAATGGAATGGATCGGCGCGTGAATACGTAGTGTCTCTTTGATGACCTTAGCGTGCAAGTCAAGCTTCTGCAAGTTTTCATAAGTAAGAGGTGGAAGATCTGACCCAAGCACACGGATCTGTTCGGCGTATAACTCCTCCATGATCTCCGGATTTCTTGCAAGATGCAAGACTATCCACGAAGCTGTCGAAGAAGAAGAATGCTGGCCAGCCATAAGTAAGGCAATCATCATGTGTGCGATTTCCTCGTCTGGAACAGGAGTGCCATCTTTGTATACGCAGGACATGAGGTTCCAGACCATATCCTCAGAATCTTTCTTGTTTCCACCCGTACGACGTTCTTTGACAATCTCCATATAAGTTTCGGTCATCTTTTTCTGTGCAGCATCACGTTTCCGGTTGTGAGGAAGTGGTGCCCAAGGGAGCATGAAGTTGATAGGAGCAAACCCCATGTCAAGATCATGGTATAATTCGGCGAAAGTAGAATCGAATCGACTCCGGACTTCCTTTCCTTGAAGAGAACGTGACGCGGTGTAGATAGTAATCTCTGCGATGGTTTTGCAGACGTCAAAAACGCCACTTGATCCCTGGAAAGCCGGAGAATGCTCGACAAAGTCATCTACCTCGTTGGTGATCAAACGAACGTATGAACGTAGGGCGTCTGATGTGAGACCGAATTTGACAAACTACAATCATTAGTATACGTGCCAATACTCTCTCCATGCCCAAGCTCACCTTCTTCTGCTCCATAAGTTTGGCATTGGGACAATCATACACCACATTACGCCCGAAGACAGGGGTTGTAAGCGGGGAGTAGACTTCTTCAGCACAGACATCACGTAGCTTTCCGTTTAAAATGAAATCGTTGCCCCTGGTTCCCAGATAAACTGTTGTCTTCTTGCCGAGGAGAATGAAGGTGAAGATATCGCCGTACTGTAGGTAGATTCAAGTCAGCACAAAAACAAAAGATCGATACCTTCATGTTACTAGTCCATACCTTTGCGCGACAGTCGAAGAAGAATTTATAGGGATCCATGCCATAGCTAATTGTGCTACCTATGAATGGAAACCAGTGAAACACCAGAGGGGGCTCATTGGGGTTCTTGAATAATAACTGTCTTAGGACATTGAGAATGACAGAGACAGCCAGCAAGGATGACAGTCCGATCCCCAAGAGAACTAGAATTGACGTGTTCGAGCAGCGCTCGCAGAGGCTGTCGAGAACGACCGCGAGCAAGCCCATGATGGGACAAAAGCGGGAACAGAATGACGGAACAGACTATTGGAGTAAATTGTTAATTGAATAGGTTCACAAGGAAGAATGACTCGAGCAGAGGCACCTTCCTAGCCCTCGGCGTGGAAGCGCGACAGTTGCCTGTGTGGATTGCTTGCAACAGTGCAGGAAAGTGCACTTTGGGAAAGTACAAGCAAGAGAGAAAAACGGCAGCACGCCACTTGCCAGTAAGTGAGCGCCCTTAGTAAAGTACTAGTAGTAGCCTCGACCCGCTCACGGATTCTTGGTGGGCGTACCAATCTGAACGGCTCCGCGCCCGCGGCTCTCCTAACAGGAACTGGACAGTCCAAAAGTCTGAAAGTACCGTACCTACCCAGCCGCTTCCTCCGAGTGGATCCAGGCCCGTTCCTGCCCCTGGTACTCCGTACAGAGTACATAGCCGTATAATACGAAATACGCATTTCGCTACCCAGTTACTCCTAGTCTAATTAGTAGTTAGAAACTACTAGTGGTAGTACTCCATACTACTTAGTATTACTATACGTCCCTATTGTGTACTAGGAGCGCCGATTTATCCTATCCTCCCATGCTAACTATACATTGTGGAGTATATGACTCGTCCTGTTCTCTCTGTGTTCAAAGAAATGGCCCGACACTCACTATGTGATGAATGTGTGTGCCGAATACGCAACCTATCGATGCAGGTAGGTCCTGCATACGAAACAAGTAGGATTGCCCGTCTATTGAGGAAGCCTTCCCTTGCAGCAATATGAAATCAATTCTCTCTCTCTCTCTCTCTCTCTCTCTCTTTTGAGGGGCCCTTCCTTGGTTCTTTTCGGGTTTAAGTCGCGTGTCTATTCAAAAGTATCCATCGCATGATATTGGGCCGCTCTAGGAGGTGTCCTGGCTAGAAATTGAAAGCTAGTACGTTTACGAGGCCAAGCTCCAAGTCTATGTATGCTGTAGAGCGTCAACTCAGGCTGTTATTACTGTAATTATTGAAAGTCGATTACAGAGTAGACTAGACTCTTGCTTATGTCCTCAAGTACTTAACTATTAAAGCGCGCTAATGTCGTCCAGTCAAGGAAACGACCAGTCCCTCAGAAATACACTTAAACCAACCTTGGTTTCTGCCACGGTCCACATACTCAAGTCGATGGCTTCAGAGAATCTTCAATTGCAGAAGGCTATCTTCTCTTCAGTTACGCCCATTTTTCAGGTTGTCATCGAACAAAACTGGATCACCTTGTTCTCCAAGGTTGACGAAGTTATTCGGGGCACTTTTTTCGTTAGGGGATACTTCACGCTCTTGTGCATTCTTTGCTGGATGGTTGTGAACACGTTTCCCAGCATTGTTCTTGTGGAAAACTTTGACAGGAGCACCACTTTTCTGCTCATGTTCACTGTAGCCAACATCATTGATGTTGCTGAGAAGTGTCCTTTCGCGCGCTAGCTTTCTTTTCGAGAAGTCTAGCTTTCCCAAAGCCCCAGTCAGGCCGTCTGTGCTGTCAGAAACACTAGGCTGCTTTCCTGTAATCCATGGGTGCTCTAAGCATTCATCCACCGTAATTCGGTCGTCAACATTAA